GTTCTGATGCCCCAGGACCATACATCCACCATCCGAAAAGGAGCGAGAAATTGCAACAGAACCTTCTGATCCAGCGTTTGTGATAGAGTTTGGCCATTACAACACACACACAGAAGTAAGTACTCGGCTGGGTATTTCATCAAACCTTGCTCATTATGATAATCAGTTTAGTAAAATAGCAAATGTCATCGTTTAATTGTTTTAATAAAGACTCTGGTTTGACATTTATTAGAACGGGTAGAAAATGAATAGTTCTGGATTTTATATTGGCAGTGTCATTCCAACAAAGGCCCACCCTAAGGTAGTATCACTGGCCATCTGATGGGAGATAACCTTAAATTAAGGCACAGTGCCCAAGGAGATTGATCAACTAAGTATATGCAATAACCACACTATGACCTACTCAAACATTCTGTTTCTTAGACAGTGGAATCTTGCCATCAGAAGCTATTACTGCCCCCAACTGTAGATAAGAAGTTGACAGTAGCCCTGGCTGGGGTGCTCAGTGGTTAGAGCATCGGCCCATGCACTGAAGGGCCACGGCTTTGATTCCTGGTTAAGGGCACGTACCTGGGTTGCAGGTTTGATCCTTGCCCTAGTCAGGGCATGCGTGAGAGGCAACCAATGTGTCTCTTTCACATTGATGTTTCTCTTTCTCTCTGAATCCTCATAGAAAGCTCCAAATAAAGTTGATCGTGTTGGTTTCTAACAAACCCAACTTCTGTCATGATTTTCCTAGTAAATTACCTCTTTCCCTAACATTCAACCCCTATCCTAGTCTGAACCCACTCCCCCTGGCATAGCCCTTCCTGAGTGAGTGCAGAGATGCTACAGCCATCCTTTGTCTCCTCCTGCCCAGCACTCAACTACCCAAGGAGGATCTCAAAACATAGTCCTTGACGTTTCTTAACTTTCCGGTGTTCCTTGTTCAAGTATCACTATGTCTCAGAAACACATAAAAGGAATAAAATATTTGTCTGGTTATAACTAGATAACTTAGGAAATAAGTTCAGCATAAATAGTAAATGGCTCTTACCCTTGACTCAGAAAATGATTAGTATGTGCTGTGGTGAGACCTGCTTGACGTTCTTCTTTGCATAAAGTTATACAGCTCTGAATGTCCAACACCGTCCTCCTCAATCAAACGTGTGATTCCAGAATAAATAAGTCCAATGATTTTAGAGAGGGAAGAAATTATATTCAAAATGATTTGCGTTAATTTTTTTTTTTGCTATAAGAGATTATAGTAATAATTCCAAAAAGACCAAAGGTGTTGAAGAATATAGGAAAAGAAAAAAGAAACTCAAAGTGTTCTAGATCATGGGTGGATCTTTTCATGATGTAGCAGATGAATAGACCCTAGGAACTGCATAACTTGACCTTTGTCTGACTCCTTTAAATGCTGTAAAAAAAAAAAAGCTGAGATCTTCCAGGATCAGCCAGGAAGGACCTACCTCCAGGCTCTTTAGAGAGTCCTTTGGGGATCAGAGGAGTCTGTGTGGGTTGGTCCTAGTTTAAGAGCTATGGGTTCACTCTATAAGTGGTGCATTGGGTCATTTGAACATAGGTAACTGAATGCAGAGGTGTTTATTTCTGTAAGCATGCTAATAGGACTCAAAGGTTCAAATATTTTGTTTTCTGCTACAATTGATCTATGATCTCCATTTCCACCTTCCTCAGAGTTAACCTTTGAGAATTCTGGTATGACCATTGTTTATGTTACATAGAGGGTAGTGTTTAATATTTCTTGGATTCAAGTCCTAATTTTCCCATTTACTGTGTGATCTCAGTGCCTGAGTCTTCCCCCCACCCCCACAGAACTGGAAAGATTAGAACAGAACCAGTGCTTATAAAGATGCAGGGAGTTCAATATTGTAAAGCCCAGAGAGCCTGTGACACAGTGAGAGCTCAAGGGATGCTAGCTATTGTTTTCACATGAGCTACCGCTACCATTTTGAATGAATAGGCTTGTATTTTTTGTGTTTGATCACCCCCATTTCCTTTGCTGATTATTTGTAAAACCAGAGCCATCTGTGGTGTTGGTAATTTAGCAATAATGATGGTATTCAAAATTGTTTTAAAAATGTGTGTTATTTGTGTTTTGCATGAGTAGGTTAGCCAGCAGCCCCCGTCCACGGTCCTCTATATATTTCCTGTTGTTGTGTATTATTGTTCTTGTGTGGTTAATGTGATACTGAAAGCCTGTGAAAAGGACACGAGCTAGAATGTAAGCTCCATGAGGGTAGGAACCACATAAGGTTCTCTACCACTGCATCTCCTAAACCAAGGATGGGGCCTCACATAGAAGAGACACTCAATAATACTTATTAAAGGACAGTAGAAAGAAGGACAAGCATTTTGTTGAAACTATTCTCCTATGGGGACAGGGCAGGGGTTTCCACAGGGAGAGAAGGGTGAGTCACTGTGTCCAATAAAACTGACCCAAATCAGTCAATTGCAGAAGGATGAGGTCTGTTCCTCAGACCCAGTGATCTCAGTGACTGGAGCCCATGTGGAGGGCAGAGTCAGCACACTCTTTTCTACTTGAGGGGAACACAGATGTGGACAGAGGTGGGGCTGAGTGGGAAGTGGGCCAGGGAAGGAGCCAGGACATCTTGACCTGCTCTTTGGGACCACAAGTCAAGTAGTTATCAAAGGGTCTAAGACTTGTGTCTTGGAGACTCGTCTGTTTCAAAGCTGTTTGTATTTTCTGATGTTATTTCCTTGTTGCTCATCCTCAGGTTAACTCAGCTAATACTAAGGAGAAATGAGCATGAGGCTTGGGCTGGCCTTTGAGGAGTCTGAGTGGGTAGGGGTGTGAGGGACTGTGAAGGGAAGCCCCCTCCACCCGAGAAGATGCTCTTTCCACAGCTAGTCTGCACGCCCTCACGTGGTTCTGTGCCTAACGATGAAGACTCTGCTCTTGTGTGGAAGTGGGGTACAGACCGACAGTCCTCAGAAGAGAGGGCGGGGGGAAGGAAGAGATAAACCACAGAATTTATGCATGTTTGCATAGCTGGTGGACAGGGACAACAAAGCTGGGACGGGGTGCGGGGGTGGGGATGGGGAGGAGGGTGTCAATGGGGAAAAAAGGAGAAACATCTGTAACAAAATTAATTAATTATAAGAAAGAAAAAAAAAAAAAAGACTTCGCTCTCATGATTCTATCTGAGCAGAAAATACCCTCAGGAAGATCTTTGCTTTAGCCCACGAGAAAGTACTTACCAGAATCATCCTTCCTCTGTCATAACCAGAAAATTGTCCAGAATACTTGAAACATAATGTCAGACATTGGACAACAGGTAGCACAAGACTGTGACCCTTGAGAAAAGGCAACAAGTGGGGTGAGCCCACCCTGGCCAGGCTTTCTGTCCGACGGCGGCCCAGCCAGGGGAGCCCAGGGTCTGGCCACCCCACCAAGGGGGGGATGAAGACCGGAGAGGGGAAGCCGCGGTGACTGGAATGGGCAGGGGTTGGGATCTGAAAGGGGGGAGCTACACAGAGCAAGTTCCAGCAAGATGCATAGGGTTCCGGGTTGTTGCAGAACACCCGTCTGTGAGCCCCACCAGGGGCGTTCAGGTTCCCTCAGCCGGACTGGGAGGGTGACCCAGGGAACCGAAAGGTCTTCCCGGGAGCTCCTCAGCCTATTCCAATCGGGGGGTGGGCTGGTGGAGAGCAATAAATGACAAAGCTCCAGTCAGGACCCCCTCCCAGCTCCACAAAGCTAAAGGGGGAGGGGACCGGGAGGACAGAGGGAAGAGGGACATTCTGTGAAGGGCTGAAGGGAGAGCTAGCTTCAAAGATAAAGCAAGTGTTTCGCTCATTTGACATGCTATAGGAATGTGAGAATAACTGTGATGCAACAATGTGGCTGAAGAAACTACGGGGTGCCAATGGCGGAGGAGGTCCTAACACCTTCCTGCAGGGCAAGCCCATTAGAGTGGGTGGTTCAAGGACAGCACATGCAGGCCCCAGAGGTTGCTCCTCACAGCTCCTCACAGGCACTCGAGACCAGACGAGCGCAGAGCAGTGCCTTGTAGACTAGAGAGGGCAGGAAAAGAGAGGCTGCTGCCTTCTCCCTGGGAGCTGTTTACAGAATGGAAAACAGTGGTTTGGGGGTGGATGTCACCAGGCCTTTCTTTTTAATCCTTGCCCAAGGACAATTTTTTTGCATTCATCTTCAGATAGAGAGAGAGGGTGGGAGAGAGGGAAAAGAGAGAGAGAAACATTGATGTGAGAGAGACACATTGACTGGTTGCCACCCACACAACCCCAACTGGGGCCGGGGACAAACTGCAAGGGAGGTACGTGCCCTTAGCAGGAACTGAACCCGGGCCTCTCTGGTCCAAGGGCCAGCACTCTAACCACTGAGCCAAACCGGCCAGGGCTGACCAGGCTTTTTAGAGGAGAAAAACAGGATAGATCATCTGTGGATTTCCAGAAGTCAACTTTTCTGTGTTAAATTTCTATCAAATTATCATGGCCCATAGCAAGCTTGGGGCCATTAAATAGATATTCCCAGAGGTGCCAGGTATAAGCATGTGGCCAAGACCATGCATAGCTCAGGTCCGGAGCCTGGGAGGTCCTGCCTCTCATCAGGTGGTGAGGCTCAGGGACTTCACAGACCCTGGACCTAAATCTGGACCATCTTCTTTTGTGTGAATAGAACTCCAGATGGAAGCACATCTCTAGGGAAAAACTCTGGAGATGTGAGGAAATAGATAAGTGTTTTTTCCTTTATTGACTATAAAAGCAATTCTCTTATAAGCTGGGCCTTGATTACTGTTCTGTTGCTTGGGCCCCTTCCCTAGGTGACCAAACAAAGCTTGAGATACCATGTTCCACCATGTATTGGCCTGCATTGTTTAGTATCCTCCAGAACCATGAAGGCACCTTCTCATGAGGCGTCCACTTCACCACAGTCCCCACTGAGAAATGATCCCACCGTCTCACCAGGTTTGCATGAGAAAAGTGACACAAAGCTTGTCAGTGACATGTTCTTAGCTTTATTGAAATTCTTTTTTACAAAAGGTCCGATGTATTTTAGGCCAGGCCTAATTTCCATTAGTCCCTGAAATACAGGTCCATGGGGATTTCCATGTCCCCTTAAGTAGGTATGTAAACTAGTAGACTTTTATTTTAAGGTTCAAACACTTATCACCATCACTTTTATTTGATGTAAGACAAGACGTGTGTTTTCCCAAATGAAAAGACCAAGTAAGAATGACATGAGGGTCTTCATCAATGGGGTAACTGGTTTTTTTTGCCAGAACCAACTTGGGAATCTATTTCATTCAATGTGACATCTTTCCACCTTAGTATTTCTTTAATACAAACTTAGCAATGTGCTGAGCTATGACGTAAACAGTGCCATGTTTATATATGCGTACATATATTGGCTCTGGGGAAAAAAAATGCATGAGTACATGCGAGTTATGTAAACATAGCAATTGGTCAGAAGGAAAGTCTCTGATCATTAGGACATTAATGAATAACAAGCATATTGTAAGCAAAAAACAACCAATAGCACATATTGGTTTTGTTGTCAGGAACTTTGTTGGACCCACCCTTAGAGGGTGCCAGGTGCCACTTTCCCCAGGCAGGCTGATGCTCACCTGATATGACAGATGGCTGTGACCCAGGCCTGTGAGTCTGGGACTCCCACAAAAGAGGTGGGTCTGTGCTCCCTCACTACCATGTAGCTCCCCTAGTCCTAGAACACAGAGATGGCCCAGTGTGACCTCCCCCTTGTGTCAAAAGCAGAATATGATTCCCCTGTCAATAGGAGAGGGGAGCAGATTGAGGACTTACAGAAACCCAGGGCTCCTTCTGCCCCTGGAAATTATGAGGAATCCTCATTTCCTTCTACTCTTGTAGGACCTATCAGGATCCATGTTCTCCTGACCACAGGATCACACCCCGAGAGGCCCGAAAAGCTCAATGGCATCACCTCCAACACCTCTGAGATGCAGGAGACTTGGCTTTAGCCTTGATTGCCAGATGACTGAGTGTTGGTCTCTGTTTAGCCCCGATAACCCCCATGCCACCCTCCAAACCACCCTTCCTTCTGTGTGGATGTCTGGCCTGGAAGCCAGTCATGCCTGATCTTGCGCTCATACTCCATAGGTCTGGAGTGTGTCACCTTCTAGGCACACAGGTCTTGCACCCGAGATTCTTGCTCAAGCCTAGCAAAGACACACCAAGGTTCAGGTGGAAACAATGGTCTCAGTCAGTCTCAATTTTATGACTTATGGGCCAGGTGAATGCAGGTGAGATCTTACCTAAGCTAACATGCCCTGTAGGAATGCTACAAAGTGGATAAATAAATTGAACACCCAACATGGTGCTCACTCAATAAATGTTAGTGTCACTCCCCTTCTCCAAATCGAAATTAATTCCTGCAGGTGACTTTCCCTCTCACTCCTACAGCTGTCACTCCCCAAACTAACACAAGGACGAAGAGGCAGCGTAAAGAGGGACACATACATCATTCAGTATTGTCTCTTGCTGGGAAGGAAGATGTCAAAACTCTTGGCAGAACTGAGCTTTGGGAATTACCTAAAGACTGAATGATCTGTTATACCTCCCACCCATCTCCACTCAGCATTTGTCTCCAGCATTCATCTGTCACTAGCAGACCAAAGGGCACGTGGATATTGAGGCCTGGTGCTTGGTGTTTAGAAGGCTGGGGAAAATGGCAATCTGGTTGACCAGGACTCCACATTCAGGAACTCGGATGGAAGGGAGAAACAGGTAGTAGACCCCAGAGTTACAGTTTGGAGCAGGTGTCCAAGAGGAAAATGACAATAGGCCACTGGGGTCCTGAGATAGGAATGAGGGGTCAGGGGATGCTGGATTGGACAGGGCAGAGGCATGGTCAGGGGAGCCCCAAATGATGCCCCCACCCCAGGAATACAGGAAGGAGGCTGGGCAGTAGGACCCAGACCTTGGTTGCGTCCGCTTTCACTATCTGATACATGTCACCCCAGCATCCTCAGCATGTCCGCAGTTTGTCACCCCCCATTTGGAGAAGGAGCAGCGGAAGATGGTATCCTCTGTGCCCTTGCAGGCGACGTCATCCATCCAAATCCTCCCTGTGCCTGTGGAGACAAGTCAACACGGTTTCTTAGCGGATATGCAGGTGAGCAGGACAGAAGCGAAACAGAAGCATTGCTGTGTCTGCCCTCAGCCAGGCTGTCCTGGCAAATCTAGTGGCTCCCACCTTCTCCACCCCACCAAGACCAAATACTTATTTTCTGGGCTCAGTTTCTTAAGGGCAGAATGACAATAATTGATAGTGGTGATGGCAGTATTTACTGAGTATTTCCTATGTGTCAGACATCTTACACATACGATCTTCCTCTATTCTCACCGTGGTGCTGTGAGACAGGTATTAATAAACCCATTTCATAGATGGGAAAACTGAGGCCCAGGAAGCAATTGATGTAAGGTTGCTCAGCTTGTAAGTGGCAAAATCTGAACTCAAGCCCAAGTCTTACCACCTTTCAGGCCCACACCTTATATGAGACACTGCATCACTTTTGAGATAGGACACATTGCAGTCTTTGTTGATGAATACTCAGGCAGGGCTAGATCAGAGGGACAATGTCAAACAGATCCTGGATTGGACAGATCAAGCACCCCATTTCCAAGTATTTCGGTTCCAATAGTGTCTTAAATCTTTTGAAGTTTAACTTAGATGGTTCCTATTCTATGAGCCCCAAACAATGGTGCTGGAATGGCGGAGCACCCCAGAATTTACCATTATAACCAGGCATATATTTGATGGCAGGAAGAATCATCCCTAACCATAATAATTAGGTCAGTTTCCAGAATACAAGGTCCCGGAGACAATCTACAGTGATACCTCGGTTCTCGAACATAATTCGTTCCAGGAGGACGGTCGAGAACCAAATTGTTCGAGAACCGAAGCAATGAACCCAATAGGAAATAATGGAAACTGGATTAATTCGTTCCAAGCCCCAGAAAATGCCTATTTACTGGCCTAATTTGTATATAATATGTAGAAAAACATAAGTCTCAACAAGAAATAAAAGTGTACAGTATGTCTAAGGGTTAAATTCAGTGTAAAGCGTGACTCTCTCTCTGCACTCACACTGATGACGCGAGCAAGGCGCGCTGGGCCGAATGAACGCCATTCGGCTCAACTCAGCTCATCTCGGAAGTTCGAGTTCCAAATATTTGTTCGGATTCCAAGACAAAAGTTTCTCGAATCTCCTGGTCGAATACCGATTTGGTCGAAATCCGAGGCGTTCGAGAACCGAGGTATCACTGTATTTGAATTTTGCCTGCAGTAAGCTCCATTCACCCAGATCTCAAGGGGACCAACCTGCAGGTCTGAAGGTGCCCGGGTAGGGGAGTCTTTAGATGGCTCTCCTAGGATTGTACCTGAGCCCTGAGAGACATAAACTTGGCATTGAGGTCCTTCAATACATGTTAAGGGAAAGGACAGTTGGCTGAGGCTCTAAGGGGGAATGGAGAGGGCTTGTCTGAGGGCAGGGGGATCAGTGGAGAGGGAGTGGGCTGCACCTGGAGCCACCTGGAGTACCCACTGATGAACCGGCAGGACCATCACCCTGGCTCTGGTGGGCTCTCTGGGCTGATGGCCATGCCAGGCCCTAAATGGTGCGAGCCCGTTTGGGGGCCCTCTGCAAGGATGGCTGAGCTTCAGGGCTCCCTGGAGGCAATGCTTAGAGCTTCACTACTCAAAGTGTGGTCCCAGCCCACAGCATCAGCACCACCCAGAGCTCCTTAGGAATGCAAAACCTCGGTCCCGCCCTGGACTGACTGAACTGGAATCCACCCTTAACCAAGTGCTATGCATTAATGTGTGAGAAACACTGGTACAGCAGAAACAGGGCTTTGCTCCCATCTGGGGAACCATTTCCATTTTAAAACTGGGGGAGGGGTGCCCTGGCCAGTTTGGTTCAGTGGTTAGAGCGTCAGCCTGAGGACCAGAGAGTCCTGGGTTCAGTTCTAAGGGCATGTACCTCAGTTGCAGTTTGTCCCTGCCCGGGTTGGGGTTGTGTGGGTGGCAACCAGTCGATGTGTCTCTCTCACCTCAATGTTACTCTGTCTCTCTTCCTCCCTCTCTCCCTTCCGTTCTATCTGAAGATAAATGCAAAAATGTCCTTGGGTGACAATAAAAATAAATAAATAAAAATAAAATAAAACTGGGAGGGGATTCCTGGGATGAGAGACTTTTGGTGCTAAAACTGGGTAAATTCTATGTAAACTGGAATGCTTGGTCACTCCAGCACCCTGACTTGTTAGGTCTATGAACCGGCACCCAAAAGCATGGGGTTAAAGGTCATAAATGGGTTTCAACATTTCTGGCTGTGTCAACCTGAGCACGTGCAATGAGATCATAGACAGTCCCTACATTCTGACGCTAGCCCTGCCTCCTTCCCGTCCCATCTCTCGACAGCCAGGCCCTCTCCTTTTAGAGGAACGGTCAGCACTGATTGTCCAAACCCTTGAACTGCACTCACTCTCGAACTGCATAGGAGAAATCCCAAACTGGCTGCACAAACCAATGATTTTGTTCTGCAGAGATCTGCAGCGACACACAGGACAGCCGAGCAGCGATTGGGGGAGAGGTGGGAGGACGGGCCTCCCTCCGCGGTCTTCTTGGATGCTGTTTCTTCCCCAGAACCTCTCCCCTGGCCAGATACCCTGTGCCTCTTACACAATAAACCCTTTGAGGCTGAGGAATAATTCGCAGATTAAATGTCTCCTGGAAAACACATCAGTTTATAAATTACCCAGGGAAAGGCTGCAGGCCCAAGAGCAATGTGGGATTAGTCACACCCAAAACAAATAAAGAAGGGAATAAGGGGGACTGATGAATATAGAACAGGCCCAGGGTTAGCAGCCCAAATGCAGATAGAGGATCGTGAAGCTCCAAACTCTAGTTGGTGTTTAGCCAGGGAGTCCTAGCTCATGTTCGCCATGGAGGAGCTGACACAATGACAGCAGGGGCATTAACTCAGCAGCACTAAACATCTGCAGTTACTACCCAGCCTGGAGGTGAAGGGCCACTGAGGCCACAAACCATCACTGCTCCCCGCCATGCCGGAGGCGAGAACTCCCATGACTCCAGGTACCAAGCATCACTTTAGGTTCAGAACTGACCTCTGATTACTCAGAGTATGGCCCGAGGACAAGGAGCAGCAGCATCACCCGGGCGCTTGTTGGAGAGGCAGAGTCGCAGGCCAGGTCTGAGAGTCTGTCTTTGAAGGAGATCTCCGTGATCCATGCATGCATTCAAGTCTGAGCAGCCTGCCCTATACGAGGTCTGCACTCACACACAGGTTCTCTCTTTGAGCTCCCTAGCAGAGACCCATCAGGTAAGCAAGCTCGGGTACTCTGCCCCTCCCACCCCTCCTTACAGATTAGGAAATGGAGCAATGGGCTGACACTTTATCTTGGGGAGGCAAACCTGGAACTAGAGGCCGGGTCTTTTGACAGCTAGAGCACTAGGGGCTGTTTGAAGGTGATATTGCTGGGATGGGTCAGTGGAAAGTTTATTTGATCCTTATCATTCATTCATTCCATAAATATTTAAGGGCCTACTCCATGCTCAGTACTATTCTGGGCGTTTGGACTATGTCATTGAATGGAAAAAGTAGGATAAATCTCTGTGCTTCAGGGAGCTAATATTTGAGCTTCTGTATGTTTATTTAGAGTAATGTTAAAAGGCAGAAGAGCCCTGGCCGGCATGTCTCAGTTGGCTGAGCATTGTCCTGTGCACTGAAAGGTAGCCATTCGACTCTCAGTCAGGGCACGTGACCAGGTGTGGGCCAATCCCTGATGGGGGCATGTAGGAGGCAACTATCAATGTTTTGCTCTCACACAGATGTTTCTCTCCCCCCTCCCCCCACAACTCCCTCTCCCTCTCCCTTCGCCTCTCTAAAACTCAATTTAAAAAAAAAAGACAGAATAGGCTACACTGAATCCTATAGGCTCCCATGGAAGCATCACACGGAAGCATCACACAGAGGTCAGCAGGACAGCCGTTGAACAGATATTTAAGAGATAGGAAAACCGAGGCCCCAGAAAGATTAAGTAACTTGTCCCATAACTATTAGGATAAGAGACCATGACCCAGGCCTCTCCATCTAGCCAATCCAGTCCTTGTTCTTTATAAAACCACAGTATAGAGTACACAGCACAAACAATAAGCCAGGTGACAAACGCTGGGCCAATGCAGCCCACTGCCTACTTTCATAAATAAAGTTTTATTGGGAGTACTCGCCTCCTCCCACAACTACATCAAACTTACAACTAAACTATAGCACAACCATGATTCAGCCTGAAATCAAGCTGAATGGAAGTCCTACAACTACAAAATTAAAGAAGCAGTCACATGGAGACTGGTAGGAGGGGCAGAGGTGCTGAAGGGCTGGTCTCACACGCACGTGTGGTGGATAAAAATCAGGAGGGACACCTAGGCTTGGAAAGTCCTCCCTACAGAGTGAGGAGTTCCCGTCCCACACCAGGTGCCCAGCTCAGGGTCCAGTGCCAGGAAGAGAAGTTCCCATAACTTCTGGCTGGAAAAACCAGCGGGAACTGAGGCTCAGGGAGGCTGAGGCAGCTGGAGCCCCAGACAGTTCCTCTTAAAGGGTCCGCGCATGGACTTACTCGGATTTGCTCCCTCTAAGTTCGGAGGAAGGCAGCTTGAAAGGCACCAGAGACATACAGGGAAGAACTGAGCTGTTGGCCTCAGGACGAGGGCTAGAGAGGCGGCTTTCTCTCAGACAGATGTGCTGGCAGAGGCCTTTATTCCTTTGGTGAGCCCTTCCCCGGGACCTCAGATGGGAGCCATATCTGGGACTCCAGCAACCTGGCTCACACTGTTTGCCACACCCAACTTTCAGGCCCACCCAGGCTGTTTCTAAAGGCTTTATCATAGGATTGGCCTGTCTTGGATCCTGCTTCAGAGTTTCCTAAAATCTCTCAAATAGGCAGCATCTGGTCTCAGTGAGCCCCATACCTCTTGTTAAGTGGCCCCAGGCCTGGCACTAGAAGCAGCCAGCCTTGGTTCACAACTTGGCTTTTCCTGGGCACCTCCAACCTT